GTGGACACACACACACACACACACACACACACACACACACACACACACACACACACACACACACTCTCTCTCTCTCAGTCACACACACACACTCTCTCCCCCTCACTCACTCAGTCACTCACTCACACACACACACACACACACTCACACACACACTTTTTGTAATCTCAAAAAAAAGCAAGTATTGGATCAGTTTTTTATGACACTTTTTATGTTCACTTCCCATGATTCTGATATGTTCATGACAGAAAACATATAAGCTACAGTCCAGAAAGACAATTTTAAATCCACAGCAGTAAAAAAAAAAAAAAAAAAAAAAGACTAGAAATAAGGCTTGTGTGTTTGGGCAGTTTCAATAAACACCAGATCAAATTTAGACAGTTACATCAAGTTTTGTATGGCAGGATTCTGATTCTAGAAATGTGAGGAGGATATCTCTGTCTACAGTAAACACCTGTATTGTAAATGCACACGGGCTTCTTCCGAGATTCTCCATGCATCTGTTGATCTCTCTGCTTATGTGTGTAGATTATTTGGTTTTATTTGAAAAACAGAAGCATGCTGAATCTCTGGTTTCAACAGCTGTGTGGTCTGATAAGTAATTAATGTGATGAGCACAAGAAAAACACATTTGCATCTGAAAAGCATACGTTACACATTTTTACTGTTTTAACATAAGAGCCTGATACAAAAGCTTGCACGTTCTGATTTTTTGTGCAATGATTATCTATAAGTTGCATTTTGAGTAATTTATTCCGCAATCATCAGGTGCATCAGTGAGCGAGCATCATCTTTTTGTTTGACAGACACAGACGGAATAACAGCCTTAAAAAAGCCAAACTCGTGATTACGGTCAGTTCCACGGGAATGCATGAACTGAAAACATGGAAAGCTTGAATGCAATGTAAATCGCTTTGGATTAAAAGTGTCTACCTAATGCAGAAATTATGAATGATGATGCATCTTGCATGACCATACCCTATATATTGGCCAAATATTATACACTATACCAGTCAAAAGTTTTTGAACAGTAAGATTTTTTATGTTTTTTAAAGAAGCCTGCATTTATTTGATCCAAAGTACAGCAAAAACAGTACAATTCTAAAATATTTTTACTATTTTTATCTGAATATATTTTAAAAAGTAATTTATTCCTGTGATTTCAAAGCTGAAATTTTAGCATCATTACTTCAGTCACATGATCTTTCAGAAATCATTCTAATATTTTGATTCATTTATTATTATTATTATTATTACGTTGAAAACAGATGAGTAGAATTTTTTCAGGTTTTTTTGATGAATAGAAAAAGTTCAGAAGAACAGCATTTATCTGAAATAGAAATATTGTTTCTTTATCGTCACTTTTGATCAATTTAAAGCATCCTTGCTAAATAAAAGTATTAATTTCTATAATTTCTTTACCAAAAAATAAAAAGTAAAAAATACTGACTCCAAGCTTTTGAATGGAATAGTGTATAATGTTACAAAAGCTTTTTATTTCAGATAAATGCTGATCTTTGGATTGTTCTATTCATCAAAGAATCCTGAAAAAAAATGTATGCAACTGTTTTAAATATTGATGACAATAATAATAAATATTGTTTCTCGAACAGCAAATCAGCATATTATACTGATTTCTGAAGATCATGTGACACTGAAGACTGGAGTAATGATGCTGAAAATACAGCTGCACATCACAGAAATACATTACAGTTTAACAGATATTCAAATACAAAGCAGTTATGTTAAATAGTAAAAATATTTCACAATATTACTGCTTTTGCTGTACTTTGGATCAAATAAATGCAGGCTTGCTAAACAGAAGAGACTTCTTTAAAAAACATTAAAAATCTTACTGTTCAAAACCGTTTGAGTGGTAAGTATATCAGTGTTTATGAGCTTATGATGTTTCGTATAACCCTCATTCTGTTCTTCATGGTAGCTGTTGTGATGATGGAGTTTAATGTGTGTGTGGTTTTGTAGGCCTTGTGTAAGGATAAACTTTACCCTGGAATGCATGTGTTTGCCAAAGGATACGGGAAGAACAAAGAGCCTCTGCGTGCTTACGTCCTCACCTTCATCATCGGCCTGGCCTTCATCCTGATCGGTAAACTACACCCCACCTAATGCTGACTTATCTGCTTATTATACACTAATGACAGAGACTGTGTCTAAAATCCAGTGTGTTGGTGTTTCAGCTGAGTTAAACATCATCGCTCCCATCATTTCCAACTTCTTCTTGGCCTCTTACGCCTTGATAAATTTCTCTGTTTTCCACGCGTCGCTGGCGAACTCCCCAGGCAAGTGTTCACTGATGAAACTGAAAATGAGCATGATGTTGACACTGTTCGCTTCAGACAGTTTCAGACAGTATCGTGAGTAATTCACAGATCTCCGTCTGAACAGGGTGGCGTCCGAGTTTCAAATACTATAACAAGTGGGTGTCGTTAGCCGGAGCCGTGCTGTGCTGCGTGGTGATGTTTGTGATCAACTGGTGGGCGGCGCTGTTCACCAACGTCATCGTCCTGGCGCTCTACATCTACGTCAGCTACAAGAAACCAGGTATGTTCTGTTTTCAGTTCATTTCTATGATTATGTGGTAACACTTTACCAAAAGGTCTCATTTGTTGCAATAAAATGTAAGAATGAACAGATCAATATTATGCATTTTTTAAAAAGTGAAAAATGCACACATGAATTGTTCATAATAAGATCAATAATATGCATTTTTTTAAAAAGTAAAAAAAATGCACATATGAATTGTTCATAAGATCAATAATATGCATTTTTTAAAAAGTAAAAAAATGCACATATGAATTGTTCGTAATTTGATTAATAATATGCATTTTTTAAAAAGTAAAAAAAAAATGCACGTATGAATTGTTCACAATAAGATCTTATGCATTTTTTTTAAAAGTGAAAAATGCACATATGAATTGTTCGTAATTTGATTAATAATATGCATTTTTTAAAACGTGAAAAATGCACATATGAATTGTTCATAATAAGATCAATAATATGCATTGTTTAAAAAGTACAAAAATGCACGTATGAATTGTTCGTAATTTGATTAATAATATGCATTTTTTAAAAAGTGAAAAATGCACACATGAATTGTTTACAATAAGATCAATAATACACATTTTGAAAAAGTGAAAATGCACATTAATTGTTCACAATGAGATCAATAATATGCATTTTTAAAATATATAGGGTGAATTTTTAGTTCATGTCGACTAATGCAGTGCTGTAAATGACATGGAGTAACGATAAGCAATATAATTTTCACAGCATTTAATATATGTATTTGTTAATGTTAGTTAATTAAAATTCAGTTGTTCATTGTTTGTTCATGTTAGTTAATTAACTAAAGTTAATGTAGCCTTCCTGTAGATCTTGGAACTGATCACATGTATATCTTGAATGCAACGCGAGTCACTTTGGATAAAAGCGTCTGCCAAATGCATAAATGTAATTGTGGTTCATGATAAAGGCATAGTTCACCCCAAAATAAAACTTCTGACACTATTTACTTACCCTCGTGTTGAATTTCTTTCTTCTGTTGAACAATGAGTGTAACCAAACAGTTGCCGGTAGCCAATGACTTCCATAGTATTTTTTTTAACCCTAATATGGAAGTCAATGGCTACCGTCAACTGTTAAATTGCCAACATTCTTCAAAGCATCTTTTGTGTTCCACACAAGAAAGAATCTCGTACAGGTTTGGAACAACATGAGGGTGAATAAATGATGATCATTTTTATTTTTGGGTGAACTATTACTTTGTATTGTAAAGTGTTATCAGTTATGTTTTAAAAATTCATAAATCATAACTGAGTGTCAAAATGCATCTTTCTGCTGCAGATGTGAACTGGGGTTCGTCGACACAAGCGCTGATGTACAATCAGGCACTGACTCACAGTCTGCATCTCACGGGGGTTGAGGACCATATCAAGAACTTCAGGTGATCCACCGACAGATGCTGAAGCTGTCATATGTGACTCTATAGAGACCCAAAACCTCTCTGAAATAATTTTTTCCCACAGGCCTCAGTGTCTCGTAATGTCCGGATACCCAAACTCAAGACCAGCGCTGCTGTATCTAGTGCACGCTTTCACCAAAGACGTGGGCTTGATGGTCTGTGGCCACGTGCGCACGGTATGTAATTTCAATTAATTATCTTTGCAGTTATGAGCAGTTACTTAATTATGATTTCAAGAGGTCTTAAATTGCGGTACGGAAAAACCAGAATTGCGATATGGCTCAATGTGACGATTAAACTTCAAAAGGCTATGATTTCATTGAATAAACACGAGCGCTGCAGTGCTGCGCTGCTTTGTGTATTGCCGTTACCAGGAAAACAGTTATATTTCTGCCATTCCGAAAGCGCCACCTGCTGGCAGAGAATGAATGTGCATTTTTAATAAGCCCGTCTGCTGTTTTTGTTCAGACCAATGTGAAAATCCACCCACACACAGAGCTGTAAATGTGAACTGGTGGATCGATAAGAAGATCATTTTTTAGTTAAGAGATATTTTTTAGTTAATATAACAATTTATTGATAATAATTGTTTAAATTAACATAATAATTAATACGTTTGACTCATCCGTTTTCTTAAAAATGGTTTAAAGGCTGTGAAGTGTATCATTTCATAAAACTTTTTGTTTTTGTGAAAACTTGTATCTGAACTGTAAATCATGCTTTTTACAGTTTAAAAAAGTCTTAAATTTGAGCTTAAAAATCCTGCAGAAACCCTTTTTCTTGCATTTTCCCGCAGGGATACCGTAGGCCGAACTATAAGGACATGATGAACGAGCAGGTGCGCTATCAGCGCTGGCTGCTAAAGACCCGAATCAAAGCCTTTTACACTCCTGTGTTTGCTGATGATCTCAGACAAGGAGCCCAGTATCTCCTGCAGGTCAGAACAAAGAGCTCATGTAATGAACTGAATCAGAACACATTTAAAACTAAGAGTAAACCTGATGTTGTCGGGATTCACAGACCACTGGTTTGGGTCGCCTAAAACCCAACACACTGGTGTTTGGCTTTAAGAACAACTGGAGGGACGGTGAGATGAAGGATGTGGAAACCTACATCAACACCATCCAGTGAGTCTGACTGTGTGACGCTCTTCATGTCTTCATCTTAAAGAACTGAAATCTTCATCTGAATGATCGCTGTGTGTGTTACAGTGACGCGTTTGACCTGCAGTTCGGGGTGGTTCTCTTGAGACTGAAGGAAGGTCTCGACATCTCTCACATTCAAGGTCGAGATTCCTGGTTAAAGTGTAAATGGTTTGAGTCTTTTCATCAGTGATTCTAACTCTGCTTCTGTTGGTCTTTCTTCAGATGAATTTCAGACCTCGCAGGAGAAAGCTCCTGGAATGAAGGATCTCTTGGTGTCCATCAACATCAAAGACTTTGACAGCGATTCCTCAAAACCGTCATCTAAATCCACCAGCTGCCAAAGCAGCCCGCTCATCTTCAGAGGTCAGAAAACAATGACATAATGCACATTTAAAAGTAAATTTGCTCACCCGCAGGATCATCTGAGATCAGGATGAGTGTGTTTCTTCATCACATTTGGAGAAACGTAGCATTGCATCACTTGCTCACTGCAAGTGAATGGGTGCCGTGAGAATGGGAGTCCAAACAGCTGATAAAAACATCACAATAATCCACAAGTAATCCACAGCACTCCAGTCCATCAGTTAACATCTGGAGAAGACAAAAGCTGAAACAAAGCCAGCATTAAGACGTTTTTAACTAAAATACATGTCCATAATCCATAATAACGCTTCCTCCAGTGAAAAAGAGCATCTGCTGTTGTCTCTCACGTCAAAACCCAGCCACATATTTGATTAGAGCTGTTTAAACGCTGCTTGATCTGTGCAGATTTCTCTCCTGATTCAGACCAGAACACTTTTTCACTGGAGGAAGCGTTATTATGGATTATGGAATGGACTGTTAACTGATGGACTGGAGTGCTGTGGATTACTTGTGGATTATTGTGATGTTTTTATCAGCTGTTTGGACTCTCATTCTGACAGCACCCATTCACTGCAGAGTATCCATTGCTGAGACACTGATGCAATGCTACATTTCTCCAAATCTGATGAAGAAACAAACTCATCCTAATCTCGGATGATCCTGAGGGCGAGTAGGTACATTTTCATTTTTGGTCGAACTATTCCTTTAATGAGTGTTCCTGCGATGAGTGTAAACTGTAAAAATCTTGATTAGAGACTGAAGTCAAGTCGTATTGTGTTCCCATTAGAGCCACTCCAAATATCCTCCAGTTCATGAACCTCCTGCAGTTTCCTTCGATGCATGAATGTACAGATTTGTATTCTTCTGAACATCATGTTACATGCACTCACAGAATTAGTTCATAGCAAATATTAATTTTCCATGAAACGGCTTTGTGCATCTCAGATTCGTGTTAATCTGTATCTGGTAAACTGATGCTAATTTCTCTTCTCTGACGATGCATGTGTGATTTCAGACACCAAGAAGCCTCCGATGCAGCTCAGTCCTGCGGATGAGAAACTTCTGGCCGCCAGTCAACAGTTCCAGAAGAAACAGAGCAAAGGAACCATCGATGTTTGGTGGCTGTTTGACGACGGAGGTAAAGAGTGTAGTTTTATGATTGAATGTTTGTCTTTATTATGCTCTCTGAGAGTTTGTAGCTTTAATAAATGACACTGCGATTGATTACTCGTTGTAGGCTTGACACTTTTGATACCGTATTTGCTAACCAACAAAAAGAAATGGCGCGACTGCAAGATCCGTGTGTTCATTGGAGGAAAGATAAACAGGATTGACCACGACCGCAGAGCGTGAGTATAACCTGTGTTAAAGGGGTCATAGGATGCTACATGCACTTTTACAAGTTGTTTGAACTGAAATGTGTGTTGGCAGTGTGTGTACACAACCACCCTATAATGATAAAAATCCACCCAGTGGTTTTTTTTAATCTGGTTAAATGTTT